TTATAACTCTCCGCGAGTAACAACATCGCCGCAGGAGTAAAGAGTCCATTCATAGCTCTCAACAGCGCAAACAAAGTCGGCAGAACGGGAATAATATTAGAAGCTGCCGGATTTCTATAAACCGGGTTACCATTTTCACTATGACCCACCACAAATCCGCCCCTAGCTGCTCTATCCGGATCCTCCGGAATTGAGCACCGTTTAACGACACTTAAAATGGTGTTAATACAGTACATAAGATTCATGCGATTAATCGTGTGCTGATCCTTAACTTCATGATCTTTAACCGTGTTAAGATTCAACCCTCGATCTTTAACCTGACAACTCAACCCAACAAAATGAATAAACTCCTCCGGTCCTTTGAACGCTTCAGCGCCCAGTAAAATAAACTCCCTCGAAGCTTCATGAATTGTCTCCGCAATAAACCTTGACTGTCTTTCATAATCACAAAAGTGATTAGAAATAAGGAACAAAGCTTCGTAAAGAGTGACACTTTCCATTCTGGTCAATTTTTCCGACTGAATTAACCTGCGTACTGTTGTGTGAATTACTTCAAAGACTGGTAATAAGATAAGTGGGTACTTGATGCCTATTTTGACCATCATACTAGCAGCATGTCTGCGTACGCACTTAGTAGCTTTGGACCTTTCGCCTTTAACTTCTCCCGGGGCTTCAAAAACAAGAGCCGCAAAAATTTTGTTGAGTACTTCGGGAAGTATCGCGACTCCTGGCATGGTCATGGAGCCAGTTGACATCGACAGGAAGACAAAGAGCGCTGATATGCAAGATAGAAGCGCTGAGAGCAGCCAAGGATCTTCTGGAGAGTATCCGAGACAAAGTTCGAGTAAAGTTAAACCATTTTGAACACTGGGTCGCTCGTTAACTAGCAGAATTCTGGAAATTACAGAGTCCAGAGCGGAGGCTAGAGCGTCCCACTCTAGGTACAATTCGTCCTTGGGATTGCTGACGTACCGGATGTTCGCCATGCCTCTGGTGATTCGGGTAGTCAGCCATTGCTGGACGTAAGCGAAGGTCACTAGTGGAGCCACCATGGTTGCGTGTCTAAGACCTTCCAATAAATCCGTTCTTAATCGGTGATTAAACACGGTGAATTCTTCTTCTGAGTCGTAGTCGCTGAGGCAGTAGGCGGTCATGCCGTTGGTGAGTCCGGAGGGGTAATAAGCCTTGATTAATTTGGGTCCGATGCTCTCGACGTATTTTGGGACGTAAGTTAGGACTAGTGAGTCCATCTTTGCCTGGTCGTGCCGGAATAACATGATCCAGATTGTGTTGGCTAGGTGGTTTAAAGTGAGGCTGGAGTGCATGGTGAAGGACATCACTGTGTCCAGGAAGAGGTTGAAGTGCGCTGGGCGGGTCATGGTCAGGTCCTCCTTGCCCCAGAGGGTGGATAGTTGTGTGGCCATCCCGGTGAGGACCTGGATGAGTTTTTTTAGGAACTGGTAGTGGGACTCGTGGGACTCGTGGGAGGAGTGAGACACTGGGGTGATTGCTGCGGAGCAAATGCAGCGCAGAGCTTCTTCGGTGAATAAGAGCATTAGCGGCTTGCGGTCGCCTTTGCCTTTTCGGTTTACTACTTGCAGGAGACATTCTGCTGCGGCGTACTGGAAGGTCCGGTGGCCGAGGAGGAGACACAGGATTTGTAACAGGCGGCCATCGTCGGCCATTATGTGGTTTATTGACACCCATTCTACGAAGCCGGTTAGGGTTAGTAGGACTACCTGCAATTTTAAGTTGGGGGGTTAATGGTTTGTTGTTGAGCGGTTTAAGTTTGGATTTTTTTGGGGGATTAATTATTATATTGATAGAAAAATTTAGTTAATTTGAGAATAATAAATTTGAATCAAAAAATTTTGAAGAGCTAGATAATCTTGAATTATAAGATAAAATATTGATAAAATAAATAAAATAGATAAGATAAATTTTTGAAATAAGAAATTGTTTTTAGATTTGGAAAAAAAAAAAGAAAAAACAATTTTTAATTAAAATTTAAAAGTTAGGGTAAATGTTCCAGTAGTTGACCGGGCACCAGTAGTTGACCGCTTTCATAAAAAAGTCCGAAAATTATTATTAACTGCATTTTTTATGACCCTGAAATTTATTTTTAACTATTGTTGAAATTTATAAAAATTTATAAATTTATAAAAATTTTTAAATGTCAGCTAACTTAATTTTCATTACTAATTTTAGTAAAATTAAAAAATTTACCTGAACAACTTTACTGTGAGCAGCAGCTTCAGCAACATTACCCACCGCACTTTTCTCCTGAAACTTCCTAAAATGCTGCTCCATAAGTTTCAAAAAGAACGCAAAAATCTGAGCCATGTGAGTGGTGAGCGCCTGATAAATATCCTTGCGTCGCTGATTAGACTCCAAGGTCTGAAGAAGCGCAACATCCTCAACTAACCTTAAAAAGACCAACAGAACAACCTCCGTCTGGCTCTCACCACGTGTGCAAGCAAGACTGAGTTCATCCAGCAGAGACGGCCACTGTTGCGGCCACTCGCGCTTTATCATCTCGACGATGACTCTAGACAAGGCATCCTTAATATGCGTCTCTTCTTGCGTCGTCTCGACACCCTCCGAGAGCAGCTTCATGGCCGTCTCTTTTATCACAACCTTCTCAGGCTGGGATATTTGTGGCCACCTGTACTTGATACAGTGCTCCATCAGCTGGAGCCCGAAGTGCCTGACGACGCTGCTTCTGTCTGGCGACTTCTGGGCCAAGTACATACCACATTGCGCGCAGTACGGCGAAGTTTCTTTGAAACGCTCGCATGCGTTGTAAACATCTAGACGTTGTTGATGCGGAACGTTTGGAGACATCATTACTTCTACCACTCGTGCGAGCTCTGTTGATATTTGGGGTACATCACCCACATTGAACTCCATCTCTGCGTCTACGCTGTAATTTTTTTTTTTCCAATTTTATTATTATTATTATTATTATTTCACAATTTTTAATTAAGTTTTGAAAAAAATTAAAAACTCAAATTTTTAACAATAATTATGAACAATTTTCAGAAAATTTTATCATTATTATTATTATTATTATTATGATTATAATTTCACGATTTTTAAATTAAGTTTTAAAAAAAATTTTGAACTCAAATTTTTAACAATAATTATGAAGAATTTTCAGAAAATTTCATCATTATTACTATTATAATTGTTATTATTATTATTATTATTATTATTATTATTATTTTAAATATTATTATTATTATCATTATTATTATTTTTTCAATTATTATTATTATTATTATTATTATTATTATTTCACAACTTTTTAATAAAGTTTTAAAAAAAATTTCGAATTCAAATTTTTAACAATAATTATGAAGAATTTTCAGAAAACTTCATTATTATTATTATTATTGTTGTTATAATAATAATAAAATTGATAATAAAAAATAATAATAATAAAAAATAACAATAAAATTAATAATAAAAAATAATAATAAAAATTACAATAAAAAAAAATTAAAACAAAAATAAAGATAAAAGAAATACATCAGAAAGCTAGATAATTTTTTTTTCTGACGTAATAATTAAATCACGTATGTAACAATTGATAAATAATTTACTTACGGATTTTATTTAAAAAAATAAATAATAAAATTGTTTATAAATATAACAAATAATCAAAGTTCAGGCATAATTGTTTATTTTTCCTCGTGAAACAATAAATTAAACCTGTGATTGAGCAGCTGATAAATATTTACCAGCGGATAAATAAACCTTATAAGGTTATGGAATATTTAAATAGATAATTGTAATTGCAACAATTAGCAGATTGTTACACGATTATAATATCCACGCCGACCATGCCTTGACAGCATTCCACTAAAAACTATTTTTTTACACCCATGGAATTTTTATTAATTATTGTTAGGTTGGAAAAATAATTACTGAGATGCACTAGTGATGTCTGGGTGATATTTATGGAAAAAATTAGTTTTTTTATTTTAGAAGTAGTTGAGATAAAATAAAATTTAATAAATTAAGTTTCTTTACCCGAACTCGCGAGTTTTTTTCAGCTAAGAGATCCGGCACGTTGGACAATCGTGTAGACAACCATCATCTAGTTGACTAACGCGCCATCTTGAGGCCGCTGGTTTTACAGAGATTTGGTGGTAAAATTTAAAACTATCGATTTTTTGAAAATTTTAGTTCAAGATATTTTTTTAGTTGTTTAATTATTTATAAATTTTTTAATTTCTTAATTTTTAATTGACTTTTTTGATTTGTTTTAATTCATTTGTTTTAATTATTTAGTAACCATGACATCAAAAATGTCAGCTGTTAAAAATTTGATCTTCTTTTTTTAATAAAAATTTTTTTTTTACACTGTACTTATAGTTTTTTTTTATTTTTTAATTAAATTATTAAAAAATTTTCTTAATTATTAATGATTATAATTATTAAAATTTTTTTAATTAATAAAAAATCATTTAATAATTTTTTATAAAATTACTACTCAACTTTTAATTTTTCTGACCACCAAAATTTATAATTTTAAAGTTAGCCGACGTTTTTAACTTTTTGATTTTTTTTTTAATTATTAAATTAGAATTAAAAAATATTTTTTAAAAATTGCACTCATAGTTTTTCATGTTTTTTACAAATGAAAATTTTTTTTTGTAATAATTTTTTCTATTAAAAAAAAAATTTTAAATGTCGGCTAATTTAATTTTCATATTTTTATAATCTTAAAATTAGCCGACGTTTTTGACTTTTTTTTAATTTATTAAATTACAACTAAAAAATATTTTTTAAAAATTGCACTTATAGTTTTTTAATTATTCTACAAATGCAATTTTTTTTTTCAACAAAAAAAAAATTATAAAACTTTTAGATGTCAGCTAACTTAATTTTCATCCAAGTTTTTTAATTTTTTTTTTTATTAAAAAATTACCCGATAAAATACAAGTAATTTTTATCAATTGCTAAATAAATAACAATATTTTTAAATAAATTAAAATTAATCACTAAAATCAGAGTCACTAAAATCACTTGAGTCGCTGTAATAATTTTCATAATTTTTTTTTTCGACTTTCTTCCTAGGTGGAGGCTTTAATCGACGTCCTGGTCTTCTCTAAAAAATAAATTATTTTTAATTAATAATAATAAAAAGTGTTATTTTAAATTGATAATGATAATTAATAATAATTATTATTATTTAAAAAAAAAATAAATAAATAAATTTTAAGTTGAGAAAAAATACTTTGTAGTATCGCTCCCAAAATGAAGACAAGTCAGTTTTGTAATTAGAAGCCTTTTGTCTAAAAGTTCCAAGGCAGTAAGTATCCATTTCTGAGCGAGATAACATTCCAATAGAAACTGCGTGGTCCAGTACCTCTTTGAGTTCTTTCCTTAGTAAAGTAATGTCCTTTTCAACGGGGAAGCGACGGACCAAGTGCTCGGCAATCATTTTAGCACTGACACCTGCGCGTCTCATTTGTAATTCTTCTACTGATCTTCTCACCATTTCTAAAGATATACATGTTGATTTTCGTTCATTTCCTGGGGAAAATATTAATATTAATTATTATTATTCAGATTTATTAATGATTATTTATTTGTTCAAATACTTTTCATTATTTTGTATTATTGTAATTTTGAAACCCTAAATTATTTTATTTCTTTATTTCTTCAGATACTTTTCATTATTTTGTAATTTTGTACCCCTAAATAATTTTATTTATTTATTTCTTCAAATACTTTTCATTATATTGTATTTTTGTAATTTTGAACCCCTAAATTATTTTTCAGACAATTTCAAACAACTGACAATCGTAAATATAAATATATATGTATAGAGAATGGCAAAACGGATATGCACAGGAAATAATAAAACACGCTGAATTTTATTTTTACTTATTTTTTAAGTATTGAAATGAATTTTTAGAGAAGCTAAGTAAATAGTAACTAAAGAATTTTATTTTGATTTTTAAAAACTGAATTTTAATTATTTAATGTTAAAGAAGAAATATTATTTTATTAATTTTATTTTAATTATTAACTATCAAATTAAATTATCTAAAATTAAAGAAGAAATGTAATTTAATTTTATTTCAGTTTTTAAAAACTAAAATTAGATTATTTTAAATTAAAGAAGAAATATAATCTATATTATTAAGAGAATAAGAAAAATTTTGTGTCCAGGATAGTCATATGATAAAATCGGTTTTTTTAGCTAAATTTAGTATCATTACAAAGGTCTTGATTTTAATTTGTGCCTTTTCAAGGTTTCATATCGTTCTCACCGATAGTCAATTTAATATAATAAGTATTTACACTGCATTCGAAAATTCTCTATCTCTAGACATATAATTAAGAAATGACCTTGTATCTAGTAAACTATTAATATTTTTAAAGATATAAGCTCATCCCGATGTAATACTCATCGAGACCTTTCATTTGAGTACCCACATCAATTTTTCATATATTTATATATATTATATATATATGTATATATGAAAAATATATCAAAAATACATGTGGGTACTCAAATGAAAGCTCTCGATAAGTGTAACATCGGGATGAGCTTATATCTTTAAAAACGTCAATATTT